TACTTCATGACATGTCTCTCTGACCTCAGCCACTTCATATTTTTAAGTTCTAGTTTGGAGCAACAGAAAAGTGAGACAGAAATACTGGTTTATCTAATATCTACTATAGTCTCCAAAATCCAATCCAAGCTTACAAAACTGAAATATTTCATCCTTCCTTTGTAGTTTGAGGAGGAAGATAGCTAGAGAAACAATCAACCAATTATCAGTGGCAGAATGTATTCTTATAAATAATTATTTTCCCAAGCCAATAGCATTTTTAAATGAGAGTTGTCAACATATCAAATAGTATCTGATAGTATTTGGTTAAGTCTGAAAGCATTCTCAGTGGACAGGCTTTGCTATGTTACATGTTATTCCCCAGTTGGTAATTACAGCAGGTTCAAAATGGTGACATGAAATTTAACTTGGAGGGCTGGGAGTATGGCTCAAGTGATAAAGCACCTGCCCGCCAAGTTCGAGGTTCTTAGTTCAGATCCCAGTACCAGAAAAAAAAAATTAACTTGAAAATTCTTTAACTCAAAATTGACCATTTCTTTTGATTAATTAATTGTTGTACTGGGGGTACATTGTGACATTTACAAAAGTTCTTACAATACACCATAGTTGAATTCAGCCCCTCCATCATTCTCCTTTAACCCCTCTCCCTCCAAAATAGACCATTTCTAAAGATTTTTTTAAAGTGACCTGCAATTTAGAATTTAGGAACTATGCATATGAGCATCAAAGAAAAAGCACATAATTCAGATTCAGAAGTTCTGAGCTAATGTTTAGCTCTATTGCTCTGTGACTTCTCCAAGTCTCAATTTCTTCAGCTATAAAATGGGAGTAAAATCAACTTGAAAACATAAAAAATGTTTGTGAAAAATAACCATATAAAAAGTATTCCCATTTCTCCATTACTTTCTAGGCAATTTTGACATCAACTTTTGACTTGCATATTTTGAGGAGTGGAACAGCACAGTATTTATGCCATAACTGTTTTGCTCCTTAGAGCAAGCTTACTTTGCAGGTCCTATTTTAATTGAACCTAAGTCTCCTGTTGATAATTTCCTCTATACTCTTCAAACTTCATTTCTACCATCTGCTTACAATTCCACAAAGCAGGTGTAGACTACAGTATTATTAAAGTTCTGTTAGTGCACAGTTAACATACTCAAATGGTAACCAGTTCCTGTGAACCACTTCTGATTGTTTTCATTACTCTCAAAACATGGTAAGAGTGCTTTTAAAAAAAAAGGCAGTTAAATACCTAGCCCTCGATTTGAAGACGCTGGGAGAAGACAATACACAAAAGTCTTCTGAAGTCAGGCAGACAAGGGGTAACTCGTTCAACTGGAAAGATTCTCTTCTATCCCTCTCTCAATTTCTAAGGTTAGACCTGAAGGACACAGAACTTCAGAGCACTTGCAAAATCTCCTGGCCTCCAAAAGCACTGCTGTGAGGAATAATGATCTAGCCATTAGTGACAAAGACTTACAGCAATTTGCTAAGTAATCTTTCAAAAGCCTCCTTCACTTAAACTGGTCTGTCGATGGGAAAGAACATTTAATAAATCTGAAGATTTACATGTGAACTTTAAAGTTTAACATTACAAGAATAGAAATTATGTCAGGTTATAACAAAAGAAAGGAATTATGGAGAGATGGGAGTAAATTTTAAGAGTCTTAGGAAGGATTAGTGCTGTAAAAAGAAACTCAAAACTATCTTACTTTAATGTTCCCTTCAAAAGGACTTTTAGGCAAAAGGTATCATGTATTGGCTTGTTTTGAGCAATTACTAAACAATGTATAATGGAGGTCACTAATAAAAAAATTTCAAAACCTGAATTCTGTAAGAGCCTTAGCTCACTCAACACTTAAGATTATTAGATGTACATATTTGATACAGCACAAATTACTGTGCCAATAATATGTTCCTTCAACAATGAAATACTAGTATAGAATGTGACACATTTCACCCTTCTTAAATTTAAATCTGAAGACAGGATTAGTATTTTGATGGGAAATTACGATCCCCAGACACAGCCAAGAAAATGAAAATACCAGGACAGCTTACAAGAAATGAAAGTTTGGAAGACCATTAAACTCTTTTATGAACGTCTACAACATGGCAAGAGACTACAAGGGGAAATAAATTATATTTCAAAAGCAAGTCCCTATTACAAAAAGAAACATATTTTATTTACAGTGATAAAGTCTACCAGGGCTTCAAAGTTGCTGATGACACCGCTGAGAAAAGCTTAAGCTGGGCTGTAGATTACCTCAAAGCAGGTGGTTTTGACTTTGCAGACAAGCTCCTTTAAGATATTACAACTACTGCCTCAACTAAAATATACACATTGAGCAAGTTAACGGGAGAACAGGAAAAAAACCTGCTCTATTTTAAAAGCTAATGGTATCACTGATAGAACGTATAAGAATGAGTATGGGAAAGGCAGGCAAATTTTAATTTATATAGTTCAGGTTTGAGTTCAGAAGAGAATGGCATGTTGGAATTAATCAACCAGACAGTGGAAATGAAACATAGGTCAGGGTTGGATTCATACTCAATGTTACTTGCCAGCCAGATGTCCAAATTTGTGTGTATACATTCTGGTAAATGACTACCGCTTAGCAACTATTATGTACACGGTACAGTTAGACACTGCAGCAAATACAAAAATAGGAAAACAAAAGCAGTCCCTATACTCAAGAAACTCACAATTCAGTAGAAAGGATGAAATAAACATATTCTGCCTGAAATACATTTGAGGCCTCTAAGAGAGGCTCAGTAGATGAAGGTTTACATATGGAGAAGATTTAAAGTTGCATCCCTATTTTGTTTGAACATAACACATATAGATATTGTGATATTCTAATTCTTGATGCTTCTGGGAGGAGACTGCTAACACTTTATAAATGAAGAATTATGCCAAACATCTCAAAAAAAAAAAAAAAAGGATGACCAGCTCCTTGGCACAAAAATCTGCCTCCTTAATGCTCCACTGAACACTACAAGTCCCTGAAGCTGAACTCAAAGGCATGTGACAGCTGCTGATTGGCTATAGGGCTATAGGAATCCACAGAAAAAAATGTACCCCTTGGGTGCATGACATGCATCTTGTCTGTAAAACATGGATGAAGGAAACAGTGGCTGCGAGAGGAGGAAAAGTCAAAAAGAATGTATGTGCAGGATGTTGAGAAGTATGATGTGGACCTAGACAAATGCAAGGCCCACCATCTATTTAAAGTTCTGGTGCAGAATCCATCCCTACCAAATTAAATGTTTCATGCACTGAACAAGCCACCCATAAACTATCAATACTTTCCTGTCTAAACAGCATTTCACCACCAAAAGACAATGCAAAGTAACCCAATTCTGAAAAAGAAGGCAATCTGAAAGATATCTCTTTGGTGAAAATTATATTTAGGTAAATATTAGATGAGCAGTACCCAACTAAATGTCCCCTCCCCAAAAATCCTTAACCAGTTGAATGTTATGTGTACCACCTTCATATGTTAACAAGAAAACCCTGATCCAGCCTTCCCTAACACCAACCACACTCAGTTCTTGTTTGCTATTCTAACTGAATAGGAAGGTTTAACTAAACCAATCAGCATAAGAAATGGACAAATAGGGACAAATATCTAATAAAACATAAATGTCCTCCAATCATCTGGAATTCTTGTCATTTTCTCTCTAGCAGATCTCAGATTTTCAGAACAAGTATGCAGGTTATTTAAAACTGAGTTATATATAGTCATTTAGCAGCAGCAAAATAATTCTGGCATTATCACAGATGCTAGATCTCTGGGGGAAATTTTTCCCCAAACTAACAATTTTTTTCTTCACCAAAAACCAACCAGCCTATTTCTATAAACAAGAGCCTGTTTCTCAACCCACCCCCCCCCACAAAAAAAGAAAGAAAACAAACAAATCACAGTCACTGTTAAATTCTACGCTAATGAAACTGTGGAGATTACATCCCAGGCGTTGTCAGAGCCTATTTTTCATACACCACCACCAGACAGTTTGATGCAGTATTCTTGATTGCTTTTTACCGTATTTGTAAATACACTCACTAATCCACTAAATTAGGTAATTTACAAACAGGTCCTCTCAGTTATTAAGTGGCCAGCAGTCAAGTTCTATTACATTTGATCCTTACACAGTTGTTTAAAACATTTCCACCCAGGTTTAGGGCTCGGATCGGAAAGAGAGAAGGAGGTTAGCGAAATTTGGATGGGGGCAGGGTGGAAGCTGGGAGAAATCTCTGCATCTCAGCCCTCCGCGACAACATTCAGCCAGTGCCCACAGAAAAACTAAATTCGGCCCCTCTTCCTCCTGTTACACTGGCAACAAAGAGGGAGTTTCCGTAACGCGCCCGTCACCCACCAGGTACCCAATCTCCTTCCCAGCCCAGCCTCGGCGCGCGCTCCCGCAGGGGCCTGGGGTTGCGGAGAGGCCGCGGTGCCCGGGGTCAAGGCATTAGGGGGGATGGGGTGGGAAGCCAGCTGGTGGCATCTGAGAAATGGGCCGTGGAAGGGTTCCCGGACTCGCTGGAACACTTGAGCCCGGCCGGGGCGGGGGACGGCGGGCAAGGGGAAAGAATAGAGCAGAAACTGGAAATAGGTGGGAGAGGTGAAGAGCCCAAGCTGGGGGTACACAGAAAACAGTCGGAGGGTGGCGGGGTGACTCCACGGCGGAGGGAAGAGAGAAGCAAGGCCCGGACGGCGAGGACAGCGGATGCCACCTGGGGCAGAGGAGGCGCCCGTGGAGCCTCAACCTGCAGGCGGCGGGACGGGCCGCTCAGGTGTGACCGGGAGGAGGAGGCCAAGTCGGGAAAGGGCCGGAGCGAGCTGAGCGCGCACCGGGGGCCGCGAAGAGGCGCCTGCGGTCGGCAGCTGCCGGAGCATCTGCGGGACGCGCGGGAGGGACAGGCGCGAGGGGATCTCGGAGCGCGCGGAGGGCGAAGGGAGGCATCCGGACGGACGGCCCGGAGGCGGGAGCACCCTCACCTGCGCGGCGGAGGCGGAGCTGCAGCAGCCCATGGCGGGGCCGGGGGGAGCCCGGAGGCGGCGCCGGGCGCGCAGCTACGCCCCGGAGCCCCTCGGCATGCGAGCCGGCGGGCGCCCGGGGAGGGCGCGGCCTGGCCCCGCACGACTTGGCGACGACGACGGCGGCGGCGAGTACTCAGGAGGCGGCGCGGCTCGGGGCAGGCGCCGGCCACATCCCCCGGCGGCGGCGGCGGCGGCGCTGCTCCTGCTCTGCTCCTGCTGCTGCAGCTGCTTCCCAGCGGAAAGGGGCGGGCGGCGGCGGCGGCACCTCCCCCTATCCCCCGCCTCCCACCACCCGCGCCCAGTCCCTCTCCCGCTCCCTCTCCCCGGCTGCCGCCTCCTCAGCGCGGTGCGCGTCTCCCATCAGACTCCCCGCCCCCAGTGCAGCGCCGCGCGAACTGCAGGGCGGCGGCAGCCAGAACGCGGCCGGGCCTTTGGACGTGCGGTGGAGCTTGCGCGACTCCGGGCCCATTTCGCGGTGACACCGAGACTGAGCGCTGCCTCGGGGCGAGAGGGCGTCTAGGGCGAGGCGCTCAAGAAGCTGGCTGGCTCGCCGTCTAAATGGAACCGGGCTGCTTCCGGACCCTGAGGGCACTGCGCTGCCACCGGCGGGCTCTCCCTCTCCCCGCGGGGCAAGCTGCAGCGTTCCCTGGTGACTGCCGCTTTGTCGGCTGCGTACAAAAATCAGTCTTCCCTGAAGAAGGAATAGGTGATAGAAGACGAGGAGAAAGAACCAACTGTTGCTACTGTCCCCATTTTGCTGATGTGGAAACTAAGCCTCGGAGGGAATTGAGAGCGTTGTGGAATGCACCCAAGTCGAGCTTGTAATGAGCCGGAAATGGGGAAGAGGCTCAAGTCAAAACCATGTTAGATCTGAACTGAACTGACTTCTACAAGGTAGTCCGCAAGAAAAGCAGTAATGGGTATCCACTCATAAAATATTTATGAAGAGTCTAAGTTCTAGTACCTTATAGGCACTGAAAATAAAGAGGTGAACAAAAGTGGCAAAGTTCCTGCTCTCTTACAAGTCCCTGAGGCTAAAATTAATACACTCCGGGGGTAGCAACAGGTTGGAATAGACATGGTCACTACCTTCAAAAAATGGTCAACCCAAGAATCTTCAGAAATAGTGACAGGTGAAAAAAAAAAAAACATTTAAAAGGTGGCAGGAATAAAACTAAAGATCGTGGTTAATTGTAACAGAACCATGTACCGAGCCTGTTACAAGCCTCTTCACATCTCATTTCATCCTGTCAAGTGTCTCAGACAGAATCCGTCATAAAAAACAAAAAACGGTTTATTTGCGAAGATGCAAGAGAGTGAGACCACCGCAAAATTACTCAAAGTCTAAGGAGAAGAAAGGAGCACAAAAGTTAATTTCATGTGCATTGAAACAAAATCTAATAACAGAAAAGTTGGAATAGGAATCTGGAAACAAAAAAAAAAAAAAAAAAGGCCAGGGAAGGAGGAGAGTTCCTATTGGTGTGTTCCCTTATCATTTCCTGGGTCTGGAAGTATGGATGAATTGCTTCTCTGAACCTCTTTCTCCTCCTCTGTGAAATGTTGATAACAGAGATGACTGCAAAGGGTTGTTAAGAATAAATAACACAAGAAGGCAGCTGGTAGATGAGTAAGCACTCAGCAAGTGCTGCTTAAGACCACTAAATCTTCTCCGTTTTCTCAGTGTTCCAGTTGGATCAGAGGCTCCATCATATCACAGAGCTGGTGAATCCTAAGTGTGTCACTGGTAACCAGTAGGCCATTAAATGGAAGTGTAGAAATAACACTTTAATGACCCTGGTCCCAATTCTGATTTATAATCTCCACAATTAGACTATAAACTCCCTGAGAACTTAAGAAGGTATTTTCGCCTTTGTATCTCCCTCAGCTCTCTGGAATGTTTGTTGAATTATTCAATACAGCCAGGAATAAAAAACCTTCCCTTGAGATTTTCCCTCAAAGCCAGAAAAGGACATCTTGTTTTTAACTCAGGGAGGAGGCTGAAAGTAAAATTACAGCCTTAAACAAGAAGCCATCTGTCTTCCTTATTTATAATCAAGGAAAGAGGAGTTGTTTCTCTTAGCAGAGTCAATATGGGACCATTTCTCTCAGATTATAAAAACCTTTTTGGCTATAGCACTTTTTCCATGTAGTAGCTAGTGCTTATTTTATAATTAAGACTGTAGAAGCAGTTAAATATGTAACAGGCTGTAACAGAGCTTCATAAAGATGTATTTTACTTCTTTGAAGATCTCTTTCCTCGACATGGATGGATGATGAGTGAATAGAATTGAAAGGTAGCACATTGCATTGTGCTTGATCTTAACTCTGGTTTTCCCTTTAAGAGTTAATAGAACTAGGAGTTCTAAGGTTTTGCAAGTTGCTTTGTAAACATACTGATTATGTATGTATGCAACATATATGCATATGAATGTGATGTTTTATAATTATACCTCACCATTAGCATGCACATGAGAGAAACTAACAGCTCCTGCATTGATACTCTGTACCTTCTAAGAACCAGTCTCTTTCCCATACCCATAAAAAGCAAAAAAGCTTCATAAAAGGATGATTTAGATACTGGAGGTGTAACTCTGAGGCAGAGCATGTGCTGGGTTCAGTCCCCAGCACCAATAATAATAATAATAAATAAAAGATTTAGAGGGGGAAAATTATTGTTTCTTTTTATTCTTTTCTCATAAACAAATACATACAGTGTTCAATGAAATTCAACTACGGCAAATTCAGAAATCAGGAAATAGATTTTTTTTTTCTAGCCAGGGATCATGGCACTGATCTTACCACCTTGAGATGTCATCAGGGCAAGTCCCTTAGGAAGGACTTAGATTTGTTTTTCTTAGTTGTTTTTTTTTTGTTGTTGTTTTTTTTTAATGAAAAAGGGTTTAAAAAAAAAAACGTATGTAAGAACAGTGCCTGTTACTAACTGGGATAAAATTATAAGGTCTATCAATCTTGGTGCTGCAGGGTAAAATCGGATCACCAGCTGAGCCAGCCAGAAATGCTTCCCAATGGTCTAGTATTGCATAATTGGCCGTGTGAATTCCAGGGTTTCCAGCTTCAAATGGAGGCTTGGTGCTGGTCATTCACGGAGGCAAACCACTAAAAACTAATAGTTTTCCCACTGATTTTAATAAAGCCTGACTTGTTGTTCACATGGTTTCAGGTTTGAGGGCAATAGAAAGTAAATGCATCTGTATGTGCATATATCTGTAACTGCTCAGAATAATCCTCTAATTTAAAAACCGTGACATTTGATGCTTTGGCTGTGTTATTTATATTTTAGCATGTACTGTGTTCACAGCTACATCCCACAAGAGCACATTTGCTTCAGGAGAGTCCCAGCTTCCAGATCTGCCTCACAACCGGAACATTCACATATCACTCCTGGGATATACTCCAAAAGCAAAAACTAATTGTAACCAAGGGCTTTAACTGTTCATTCATTACCTGAGAGGCAAGAGCAGGTTTCTATTTGAGACTTTAGAAATGTATCCCTGCCTCCCAGTTAAACTCAGAAGTTAGAGACCCCTCCTGGAAAGATCTTTTCTAAACTCTGGCATTAAGAGAAAAAGAGAACATTGTTTCTAGCAAGACTCTGGAGAGATTCATAAATCCTTAGCTCTGCAACTTTGTTTCTGCCCACTAGTAAACTGATGTTACTCCAGTGTTAATTAATAACCCTGACTTTATTTATGGTTTCACTTGGATTTTTGTTGCAAGATTAGATAACTTATAAATTTTAAAACTGCTTGCTGTGAACTTGTGTTTGGAGAGGTTTAACATTTCCTCTATTTTCTGAATGACATTATTTTTGTAGTCATTCAATTCATTCTGTAATTTTGTAAAATTGACTTTCCTATGAACTAAATGTGATTGGTTTTAATTAGCACATGCTCAAACATTGGTCTTCCGTGATTTGAGCTGTTTCTAAGGTAAGGCTAGTGTTGATTTTTATTTTGAGGGGTAGGGATAAGGAAGAGGGAGAAATGGAGGCAGATTCGTGAATATTACATTGAAAAGGAAGAAGGCAGTTGGCAAAGTAAGGAAATTCATTTATTTAACAATACATTTCTTGAGCTAATACCTAGCTAGGTGCCAGGAATTCCAAGACAAGTAAAGGTACATCCCTCACCCTCTACTCACTTACATTCTAGTGGAGGGAGGGAAAACTTAAACCAAGGCTTAGAGTATAGTTTAAAGGTAATGAGAGGAATGAGTCTGCAGCTATATAAGATTAGAAAAGGTCCAGTGAAACTGATTTCTTTTGTTAATTAAAAAATACTACATAACCATTTTTTTCCTGTTTACCCCTGTATCCTTACCTCTACTAGACAAGTTCCCACTGTGTACCAAATATCAAGAAAACAGTTTGATATCTAGAAATGTTTCATACATGTTTTTCAATGGATAGAAGGCATTTTGTCGATGAGTCTCTAGGAATCTGGATTTGTAAGTGCATAGAATGTCTCAAAGAAAAGCTTGTCTAGCATTTTAAATGATTAGCACCTGCTTGACAAGTGTAAAGCCCTGAGTTCAAACTCCAGTATCACCTCCCCCAACCCAAAAATGTATTTTTAAATGTAATTTTTTCCTATAAAACTTCTGAAATAAAATACATTTATTTTTACATAGAGGGCTTTCCTTTGGATGACAATGTAGCCTAACACTTTAGCAAAAACAGATTAAGGATTAACTGTATAAACATTTTAAAACTCCTGATACAAAAGATACCACAAATAATACAAATGACAAACAAAAATAATACTTGCAAAGCCTATAGGAAAGGTTTTCATAATAGACATGAGGTTCCTATTTTTAAAATAAAAACACTCCACAGTGAAAGAAATACAGGACTAATAAAATGTGAAATGCTGCTCAGCCTCAATAATAATAAAACTGTAAGTTAAAAAATTAGAAGATATCATTCCATACCTAACAATTTGGCAAAGATTTAAAAGCTTAATAAAAACCAGTGTCAGGGAAGACCACAGAACTCTCTACACAATTTATGGGGTATATAAATAGTTACTGTCTTTCTGGAGAGGAATTTAAGAATCTCTATCAAAATTTAAAAGGTACATTTTTTAAACCAAGCAATTCTTCTCCTGGTAATGTCTAATAGCAATACAGTATTATTTTCAAAAAGGAAAAATTGAGGAAAACCTAAATTCCTTTATATAGAAGATAGGTAAAGTAATTGGTTAAATAATAGGAAATATGGTTTAGAGA